GCCGTATGAATTGGAACTCCAACACAATCATTTAAATTAAATTTTTCTGCTAAACTATTTATACTATCTTTATATTGTTTCATTTTTTTATTTGCTGTAGCTAAATAATAAATTCTCCTCTGTAACTTCTAAATCTAATAATGTTTTAGGTTGAGTTTTTCTACAGACAAACTCTAAATAATTTCTAACAGTTAGGTGGAAACCCCATCGCAAAACGTTGTTTCATCGAGAAGTTCAAACGAAAGAAATTTGAAACGGTTTTACAAAATTCAACTTGTACGTAAAATTATGGCTGGAAGTGTAGCACGTTCTGTATCAGTTAACTTGGAAAGCGATGAAAAGCAAAAAGTGGAACTCAAATTATCCATTCGAAAGTGGAAACTTTAAAGTGTAATCTGAAGCTTTATAATCCAAATATTGTTCGAATATCGGATTCGTCCTAGTGCTAAGATGCTCCTCGGTTAAAACGCGTAACTGTCACACAGTGGGCAGAAATGCCATAGTATCCGGAATAATAAGGAAGAGCCGAGATATTCAATGAAGCTGGTGGTTCTGGGGGTTTTCAATCTTACTGAATCGATTGCTGATGGTTTGAGACTTCTTTGATCACAATAATATACATTAAATCACGAAAAAGCCAGGTATTTTCGACTTTTAAACTGATTTTTGGACTGTTGATAGGATTTATACTGGTAAAATGTTCAGGACAATGGCTATTGAAATTTCTAGAAGGATCTGGGACGACCTCATAGCTTCGTGAAGCGCCTAGAACAATCTCGTAGATTCTAGAAGCACCTGGAGGAGTACTTTGAAATGGTCTGAAAGAATCTTGTGGAAGAAGGATCTTGTAGTAGCCGTTGGATATAATAACGGTTGTGACTGCAGTGTATCCCATGAAATTTTTGTTTGGTGTTTATATCTCAGTGTCAGTAATGTTTAAGGAAATTGTGACAAAATATCTAGATTCTAATAAAGATCTGGCTACAGCAACTCTCCGTTTATTGGAATTATTAAACTTAGAAAACGACGAGAAATCAATTGAAACAGCGGAAGAACTTTTTCGAATTCATGTTGTCAAACGAAAGTCAAGATTAAGAGATTGGCAACAACATCATCGATCAACTTCTTGGTATGCAGAAGAAGTACCTGTAGAATCACTTTTCCTTCAATTGGCGACAGATAATCAAAACGATGACGATGATGATAATGAGTTAGGGCCTACTCAATATCTTGGAAGCACGACAAAATTTTCAGAATTAACACTCGAGCAAAAACGATATCGAACGAAGAATATCACAGAAACACTTCAGAGCGCTGCTGCGAACAATAATCTATCCATGAATCAACTTATTGGTTATTTACTTTACAGAGTAAATTATCACTCAAACCGTATGCCTGCAGCAGTAGGACAAACTATGGAAGCAAGTGGCGATTTTACAGCTACAGCGAAATTGTCAGTTGATGAAACAATTGCCATACAAGCAAAAATGGTTACTGAGTTAGAGAAACCTAATTTTTAGGTTGTCGAATTTAAGATTTAGAAACTATGAGTGTTACCTCATTTTGTTCAGAATTTTGTGCTCTTTCCAATTATGTCATTTAAAAACTTTTATGGTAAACTTAAGGGGTTTCTAGAAACTCCAAAGGTTTTCCAGAAATCCTTAATAGGCGAAATACTTTTGAGACCGGATTCGGATAGTCCACACTTGAATGTCTATGAAAAAGTGCATCTCGTTTTATACTTAAGCCAGAATTTTATTCAGAAAGTATTTGGACCAAAAAAAATGATTTATCTGCATTAATAAATCTGGTAAAAGTAGAGCATCTATCATGGTTTCCTAAATTTCGCCATGTTTAGAAACTTTTATTCTCAAATTATCTATTGCGTTTTGTGGAGGAACAGACGCTCTACAAGATGCACGATAAGAGAACGCTGCTAGAAACCGTTTTCTGGTTCAAAATTAATGATGTTTTAAAAAATGGAAAAGTTCCGAAAATTCAATTTTTTCTAGGAAAACTGACTTATGTATCAAGACTAAACGAGCCACCCGCTTCAGCTTTAAGACTAGTCTAGTCGTGTCTCTGAAGTGACCAGTCATTCATTAGAATGACTATTGAAAATTATCATTATTCACTAGTTATGATCCTTAATGAATATTTATACAAATTATTTTTGCTCATTAAATAATACCATCAAAAACGAAGAATTTCAAGTACTTCCACACACGGGATTAATATTTTATAAACATCATTACTTTATATACTTACACAAAAATTAGTAGTAGCATAACTATCATATACTATAGATCTTCTCTTTCTTATACCGACGTTATCAATTAATCAAGACTACTCCCAACATATTTCATTATGTAGAGATTGTTTTTTACATCCGATGAAATTATCATAGACTACTAGTGATCGGTAGAAGTAGAGGAAATCTTCGAAAATAACCAGAATGTAAAATAAATGTTAAAAAAAATTTTCTTATGTGTTTCTAAAAGTTCGAGCAACCTGATCGTCGTTATTCTGACAGCAATAGATCAGAACGACTTAATAGTTTAGATTTTTAAATTTCTTTCAATAATTTTCTGAATTGGGCGAAGAAAATCAAAAACAGATTTGTGGAGGACTACGTCTTATGAAGTTACTGGGTTTGTAGTGAATGCTCTCTTAATTTGTTCGTTTGTTGATGTTTTGTATATGATCAATTGTTGTTATTTTTTGTTATACTTGCTATAATGTTTTGTTTATCACTGTTTATATGATATTGCGTTCTATATGATGGACTGTTGTTCTAATTATTTTATTACACTTGTATAGTGCTCTTCATTCATCACTTTATGGTTAACTGTTGCTTATATTATGCGTTAATATTGTTGCTGATTAGAGATTTATTTTGTGATTTGTTATTGTGTCTTTTTCTCTTTCTGTTACATTTCATGTAATTGCCCCTGTTTCTTTCATTGTGACCCATAGATTTTCACGTTACAAAATAAAGATTATGAAAATAAAGCTAGTAACTGAACTGGTGGAAATAAAGTTAGTTGAAATAACAAATCACAAAATAAATGTCTAA